GTTAGTTGAATTTTACTTATGTTTTTTAATTTAATGTGTGGTATTAAAAAGAATAGAGGATACATGACTATTAAAGTTGTGTCCGTCATTTTAATTCACAGGTAAATTTTATTTTCGTCATTTTTATATGTCATCTCTCGAAATTTTTTCTCAATCCTTGGACAGACTTTATTAGGGTGACTTCTTTCCGTATACCTATAGTCCATTCGAGATATTAAATCCCGTGAGTTTTTTAGGGGTCGTTTTTTTTATGATTTTAAATAATTTTTGAGGTAGTAACGTTGAAATTAAGCGTGGAAGTCACTTCGGAAATTTTAGCGTTTGGTCGCTACATTAATACGTTTGACGAAAATATATTTGGATGAAAAACGCTTTTATGTATTGAAAATATATTCGTGTTAAACATAGAATAAACAACAAAAATATAAACTCTTTTATAGATACTGAATATGTCGTATGATCGAAAAAAAGTCGTTTAAATTCGCTTGGAAATGACGATTATTGACATTTACTATAATATTTTACATATAAAATAACAGCGATCTTCATTTCCAAGCCAACTCTGACGCCGTTCTTTGTTTCATCATATAATATTAAATTAAATTGTTTAACGATAAAATGTTAATGAAAATCTGTATTATTAACGTACTGCATCTAAAATCCGTAAAATTACTACGGAGTAATCAGTAGTTCTGGCAACACTGTCTCCGGTAACCACTAACTCTGTCGACTGAAAGCAGAACTACAGTACAGTATGCTTTTTCCGCTGCTCTGTCAACGACTATCAGTGCACAGCGGCATAGTGCTAAACTAAATCTCGGAATTCTCAGACAGGCTGACAATAGGTCTGTTCGTTTTCCTGTTATTATCGATTCTGAATCGTCCTAGAACTCTCCAGCGCATGCGCAAATGAAATAATGTCTTCATATTTCCTTCTGCGCATACGCATCACAATTCTAGGACGGTTCAGAATCGGTAATAACAGGAAAACGAAAAAAGCTAATAACGCCGGCTACATCTCGGACAGGTTTTGTGCCACGAAATCGCCCATAAGGTTGCGCATCTTCTTATTTCTTCAATCAACGATATTACACTTGGCTACACTACAAGGTCTTTCCCAACCAAAATATGACACTCTGTACAAACGCTGCTATAAAGATACAAAATTTTAGTTTCTGTCCTCTTCAAAGATAACAAGAATTAAAAAAATCGAATTGCAGTTATGTTTACAAGTTTGCAGGTGGAAAAATATACTGCAGAATATGCTGCCGAAGTTTCCGGAATACAGTTCGGACCACACTGTAGAAGAAATAAATATTTTATTATTGTAAAAAAATGTAACATAATAATTCCAGTAACAAACCTGTTGAGTTACTTTAAAAGGATTTCTTTATCTAATCATTTGAAAATCAAAGGAATTGTGGTATCGGTTGTAGTATTTCACAAAATTTGAAAATATAAACACCAGGTGGATTACTAGCGTTTTTACATTTTGTTTTGAATTCTGTACGTATCTAATATTATAAAATATTGCAGACTATAATAAACTGGACAGAAATATAATAAATAAAATTGCCACTTTGTACTATTTTTAGTTAAAAAATTGCATAATCAACAAAATTGCTTAAGGTTTCAGGGGGTATTATCTCCCCATAGTCAGAAATAAAAAAAAACAATAAAAAAGAATATATATTTAAAATATCTAAATCTAACTAGTTCGACAATCTTACTTAACACTTTAATGTTTTAACCATGCACTAATGCCCCCAAATTTGAAAACATGCCTGACAATGACGGTTTTGTCATTGTCTCTTCTTGCTCAAATGCATATTGAATGAGCAGCTTTAAAACAAAAAACAATTCTAAAACTGAAAAAATATATTTTATCTCAAATTAAAACAAACCTTGAACATTAAAACACTATATTATTTTAAACTAAGAAAAAAAGTAGAATAAAAAAATAGTATTTGATGGGATCACCATTTTTCTCTATAACAAGCATTGAAAAGCTTAATTTTTGAAAATACTCATAATCTTCCGAGAGCTCATCTAATGTTCGATAAATTTTATCGCTTAACTCTTCTGCATTTCTTGGTCTCCAATTCCGTTGGTATATAATTTTTGCAATTCGACCCCAAATATTTTCGGTTGGATTTAGGTCTCGGCTGTTGGCTGGCCAAAGAAGAGTTTCTATATTATGGTTCTGCAACCAGTGGTGAACAGTGTTAGCAGTGTGTACTGGACAATTGTCCTGCTGATAAATGAAGTCGTTATTTTCGTGCAAAACCTGTACCGATGGCTGCATAACATTTTCAAGGATTTCGATATACCGTTGACTATTGAATCTTCCTTCGATTTGCCAGAAAATGCCCAAACCTTTAGCGCTAAACCATCCCCACATATTAATAGAAAAATATCTAGATTTTTTGGATATTCACCTTTTATTTTAAAGACTCTTCTTTCTTACAGAAATTAACTCCTCTTTCGTACAGATATCTGAAAGGAAAATTCTTCTTGTTAACAGTAATAAATGGCCATGGCTTTAGCACACTACTGCTAATGCCATGGATCTGCAGTACGAGAGGTAGTGCGTTCCATATCCATCCAGTAGGGTTGCTTTATTTATTTAAATAAAAATATGTACTTATCTAAATGGAACAACTAGCGAGCCGCCACCTTAAGGAAGGAAGACAATGGCAAACCGTCTTGAGTATATTAGTACAACCTCTCAAATATAGTGTCGTTCGGAGTCGGCGATAAACTGTAGGTCCCATAGACTTGTGAAACAGTGATGGCACACAAGTCCATGCCAGAGGTAGCCTACGCTCGGTATAGAGTATGCCATTGTAAGACGATTATTGTCAAAACATAAAAGGATAGGGATCAGGTCTCTTTTTCTACGATGAAACCTAAAACTTCGTAGAAACTTAACTCTGTGGTAGAAACCTAAAACACATCCATATTTGACTTCAGATTAAATGTTTTGTCATTTTATTTCCTTTTACATAAGTAAATAACTAGTTAACAAAGCAATTTCTTAATATTATAGGTTTTTACAATTATTGTAGGCAAATTTACTAATAAACCATTTTTTTAATTTCAGAGACAGGATAGAGCTGTTCATAGATGAAAATAAAGCCTTAATGAAACGAATGTATGGCGAATTTGATATGCCAGAGTACGAGCCAGAGTCAGGTGGAGGGGGACGGTATGCCCCTGGAAACAAGAGAAAAAGATCTGTTAAGCCGGGTGTGCCAGATATTCATCTAGATCCAGGTCCCGATATCCATATTGATGCTGAGCAATCGTCTAAAAAAAGGACCATTAGACAGAATTTCAAAATATGAATTTCAACAATAATAAAAGCAACGATAGTGGAAGGTAATATTTAAATTATAAAAAAAAAAGTTTTTTTTTTATTTTTATTAATGGAAATAAATAAAAAGTTTATTATTGGGTATACCACTAGCTATCAACCTTAAAGATGCCCAAATCGTATTTTAATCAAAGAACTCAATTTTTCCAAACCTTGGACAAGGCTTTTATTTAGAAAAGCATTTTTTTTGAATATTTTGGTACAGAGTTGGTTTGATTTGATTTGATGATTTAAATCGTAATTTAAATAAAAAATAGTTTTTTTTTTTAAACTTTATAATAAATGAAAAAAATAACTGTAAGTTATAAAATGTATTGTCGTAGAAACTACAAAAATGTTACTTGCTATAACAGATGTAACGGATAATAAATCTAAAAATAATTGTAAAATGTTATAAAACTATATAAAAATATCTGTTCATCCAATTTAAATGTTTTTGAGAGTAATTTCATTAATGAATCGCATTAGATCCTTTAAGCTAAAATTTTAAAATTTATGTATTCCATCCTCTAATATATTGTACATCGGTCTATAGAAAAAGGCATAAGATAATTCTGGTTTTTGTAGGTTTGATAATCTTTCTATCGAAGTGTACACATTATGATAGTCTTGTGTGTTTGCTATGTCTAATTGTAAGTGCCTGAAGTCTTTACATTTCAGTACGATGGTTCCTCCGTTCTGTACAGGTCCTGAAGTTGGTTTCTTTTCTATTGAATCGATAGCTTGAATAAGCAACTAAAAAATAGATATAACGCTACAGATTTTATTCAAAGAAACAGTTTAAAGTTTTAAAGCTTTCCAAAGCCTTTCCTAAGTAAAATTACGTACCCACAACTCTTGAACGTTATCTTTTCTGGTGCTAAGTATCAAATGGTGTCCAGTGATGCACAACGTCCCGTCGATGGGATCGTGAAAGGGACTGTGCAGAATAACTCCGTCTAGCTTGGGAGTCGTGATCAAGTCTGCAAATTCCATAATTTCGCTCTAAATTCAGCGCAAAAATCCATTAAAAATTTGTATATTTGGCATATTAAAGTGAGGTTAACTGCACCAAAGAAAAAAAAGGCAATAAAAATCTGACGTATGACCATAGATTAATGAAAAATTTGACTTACTATCGAGCTAATAAGCATGTAGTCGGATCGAATATTTTATTTTAAATAATTTTTAATTCTCTGTTTAATTTCAAAGCGCTAAGACAAATATTGGTAAACACTGATAGATATAAAATATTTTACAAAGAATTTTGAGTTATTTAGTTTTCATAAAAATTTTTTATTGAATTTAGGAAGTAACCAGCGTGAAGTCATCACTTTTATTAGTGAAAATATGATCAAAATTTATCATTAAACTGTTAATTATCACAACAAATAAGTGTAGTAATAAAAATTAAATATAATTCAGAATTAGATTAGATTAAATTAATATCAAATTCTGGTAAATTAAATAAAGATTTCTCAAAAAAAACCATCGAGGTATCAGAGCACTAGAAGGATCGATAATTATTAAAAAAAATTAAATTATTAACTTAAAATATGAATTTCAAGCCCTAATTATTAAAGGAAAAGATAAAATAGTACTGTAATTTTCAAAAAATCATATTAAACCTTGCAAAAACCCCACACATGCGCTATCCATCCCCGTCCAAGGGGTGAGAAAACTGAGTCATGGCCACCTGAGATCTTCGGGACCTTAATTTCGCAGAAGGTCCTCGCCAATCGTAAATATAACTGTTAGTTTTGCTTTTTTGCACGACCCGCAGTAGAATTCTAAATCAGAATCGTATTCTGCATGATTTTTTCGCTTAGTAATACCCGGTGCAAACCCGTTGTGAGACACGTGCAGCAGTAGATGCAAGGAAATCGATATGATTTGCGAAATATCTGTAAAATCGGCTTTTAGACCATTTTTCTGCTTATTTTCTGAATTTAAACGAGATATACTCGTGTCGGAACTAAGTAGAAATCACGGGTAACGTAGATTATTCGATATTCGTTTGAATTTCGCCAAAAAAATCACACAAAAATGTAAGTAATGAATTTATTAAAGGCCTACAGGTGTCGTTCATCTGATTTTGTGTTAAACAATCGCAAACCAACCCTTATACAGCGATATTTTTAATTCCAGGCATTGCAAAATGAACAAACCTCCATTTTAATAGACTGATAAAATTAGAGAAGAAAACATCATGTTGGAACCATACTCTCCCAGCTCACTTTGGTTGGTTATTTTGGGTTTTATCATAGCTTTTGTCCTAGCTTTCGGAATAGGAGCTAACGATGTAGCTAACTCTTTCGGTACTAGCGTAGGCTCTAAAGTACTCACCATAGTCCAGGCATGCTGTTTGGCTACGTTTTTTGAAGTTGCCGGAGCTATTCTAATAGGTAAGAACCTAATTACATAGATAACGTTATTAGGACGTCATATTAACGTTAATAAGTGACCAATATGCATGTTGGTCAATATTACGTCATTTTAATGACTTAAATACCGTATGATCGAAAAAAACGGCGTCCACTTGGCTTGGAAGTGACGTTCTATGACATTCCCCATATAATTTTGCGGTGACGCCGTTTTTTTCTCGATCATATTGTTGTTTTTTTCATTATTTACTAGGTTATAAGGTTTCGGATACAATGAGAAAAGGCATTTTGGATGTAAACGTGTATAAAGATGGTGAATTGGAGCTTATGATGGGTTCAATTGCTGCTTTAGCTTCTAGTGCTGCCTGGTTGATGGTAGCGACTTTTTTCAAGTTACCAATATCGGGTACTCATAGTATCGTGGGTGCCACAGTGGGCTATACGCTGGTAGCTAGAGGAGCGGATGGTGTACAGTGGTTAACTCTTGGAAAAATCGGTAAATATTTTGTATATAAACTTAAAATAAAAATGTGTCTCATATATTATTAAGTTATGAAAAACTGCGACGCATGTCAAGACTTTTAATGCTATAAAGAATATTTTATATTGTTTGTTTAAAATACAACTAAGTAGGTATTATGCGTATATAATGCAAAAATAAGGTTAAATATTATGTATATAGACTTAAAATAAAAGTGCGTATCAGATATTTTAAAGTTATGAAAAACTTTAAAACATTTTTTGACATTTTTATAGTAATACATTGTACAGGGTGGGTCAAATTCGACGCTTTTAAATGGAAACATCCTTTTCTATAGAAGATAGACGAAAACTAATATCGGTGTCTGGAGCTCAATTTTCATCAAAAACATGACGGTGAAAACCGCACATCAATATCTGTTACCGTTTCGGAGTTACGGGGTGTTTTTCAAAAATGCGCATTTTTAACAAACCGTTGTAACTTTTTGCTGTGGAAAAATTTTGTATTTCTATGAAAACACTTCCAAAGCACCTTTTACGTAGAATTTAATGGTTTAAGTATAATTTTTAAAATTAATAATTTAAGAGTTATCAACAGAAAAATTGATTTTTATTTGGGACACCCTCTATATTTTTAATTAACTGAAAAGAATTTAAAATTACCTTTTCAAAAATATAGCACACTTGATATTTTGTTATAGTCCCCTTCGAAATACAGAATTTTTAAAAGTTTGCCATTTTTAACTAGTAGGTTTTGGACCCCTTGTTGATGATCTACCTCTAATGGAACTCGAAAACATATTTTTCCAGCAAGACGACGCACCGCCTCTGAACGCTGAAGTTATCAGCAATTTTTTGCAGCCAATTTCAAGAATAATTGAATAGTCGAGGCCGCCTGACTTAGTGCCCATGGATCTAATCCTATGGATATATTTGCGGAAGAATAAAAATTCCTTATTCTTCCGTATAATCTAGACAAAAATTAGAAATACTTAGCAATTATGAGAGGTTATCTTTCACCCCCACTGAGACGAATTCCGCGAGAAATGTTCAAAAACATGTTTGTTCAAAAACAAAAACATAACAGAAGACGGTCGATATGTCGAACACCTGTAGCAAAATCTCATGTCTTGGTTTGCTATGTATTTTTATTGTTATTTGATATAGTTTAAATGTGTTGATGTTGGTTAAATATATTTTAAATTGTTATAAAATTCCTTCATTTCTCATAGCAAATATTATTTTCGTTTTAATTGATTTTCACAGCTAGAATTTTGTTGCATTACAGCCGGTGCCGTTCAAAGCCTACTTATTTAAAACGGGCGAATTTTTATATACTCTATATCCCGAAGAGGAATTGAGCAAAATATCAAGTGTGTATATTTTTGGAAAGGTAATTTTAAATTCTTTTCAATAAATTAAAAATATACAGGGTGTCCCATATAAAAAATCAAATTTTCTGTTGATAATTCTTAAATTCCGAAACGGTAACAGATATCTATACGCGGTTTTCACCATCATGTTTTTGACAAAAACTGAGCTCCAGACACCGATATTAGTTTTTATCTATCTTAACCCACACTGTACAGGGTGTCCCATTTTCGCGTGTTTTACTGGTTTCTCGTTTATGAGTAAATGTTGATTCTCCCTATACCTTCCATACCAGCTAACTTCCGTTTCCCTTCCGTTTACATAAAATATTATATCATGTAAATGAATAGGACAATGCACACTATCCGTTCCGTTTCCCTTCCGTTCCATATCCTTTCCTTCCATACATTTTTTTGGAGGACGGACTGAAGCATATCGGAAACAGCGTTGTCAAGTTCTTACATTTGTACCAGTCCTGTTAACATTTTGCTGATATTTATTTATTCTTTCGCCTCTTAGTTAAATCTATTACCCTTTTCAAAAAATACAAATTTTTAAAATAAAACTTTCGTAATGATATAAATTGTACAATAAAAAGTATGGAACTGATACGGAACGGAAGCTTTCGTATAGCGTCAATGCAATAAAAAATACGGAACGGATATGGAATGGAAACGGAAGGTATAGTGTGAATCAACCTTTAAGGTGCAAAGATGCAGTTTACGCATCATCTGTGCTACTTTTTTATGAATCTAAAGCGATCCTACACATAATTACGCTATCTCTTTCAGTTGGTTCGTGGTTTATATCACCCATTCTAAGCGGCCTATGCTCCATCACCATCCTGTGGATCATCGAACGCTGCATCCTACAGAAAGCAGACCCCTTGGAAGCCGGACTGACTGCTCTACCGTTGTTTTACAGTTTTACCATTCTGGTTAACGTATTCTCCATCGTAATGGACGGACCCAAACTGCTCTACATGGATAACATACCTCTTTGGCTGGCAACAACGATCAGTTTATCCGTAGCTGTGTTATCCATGCTGATTATTTGGTTGGTTGTAGTGCCATGGCAAAGAGAGATTATTAGGAGAGAAATGATCGTAGAGTCTACCAAAGTTAATTTTAATATCGGGGAATCGTCAGGTAAGTCATTAGAACTAATTTAAAAAGCTATTGAGTATTCGTTACATCAAGTAAATAAGTATTCGTTACTAAGTAACGAATGTTTGTTTTAAAATATACATGATTTTATACAAAAATATTCGTTACTTAGTAACGAATACCTCTGTATTCGTTACTTCTCTGTATTCGTTATAATAGTAACGAATACCTCTGTATTCGTTACTTAGTAACGAATACTTTTAAACACTGGGTAAAGAACAGTAACGAATACTTTTGAACACTGAGTAATGAATACTTTTAAATACATAATTTTATACAAAAGTATTCGTTATCTGGTAGTAAAAAATTGTACATTCTTTAGTTCATAACGGATACTTATTTTATTATTTAATGATAACTTAGTCCAAAAATAGTCGAAATTTAGCTGTATTCGTTACTTAGTTACAAGTTTATTAACTTAGTTATTTGTTTACAATGTATAAGATTTGAATACACAAAAATATTCGTTACTTAGTATCATATACTGGGTATGATCGAATAAACGGCGTCTTGTTGGCTTTTAAATGATGACCGATGACACTTCCCATATAATTTTACATATAACTGACAGCGTTCTTCATTTCCAAGTCATCTCTGACGCCGTTATTTTTCGATCGTATGGCTCTTTCGTTATCGTTATTAATAAAAGTATTCGTTACTGAATATACAAAAGTATTCGTTATTATATACTAATATTCATTACTAAAAACAGGCTGTTGGTATAAAATACTTCTCTTATGAGTCTTATACGTCTCTGATGATTTAGTAATAAAAAGTTTCAAACATTATTAAGTTATTATCAAATTGTTTTGAGTATTCGTTAAATAAATACTTTAGAGAATTAATTACAAATGACAAATTGTACTTAATAACCAGTACCTTGAAGTATTCCCCACAAATAACGAATTCTCCTTATAATGTATTCATTATAAGCAATACATACTTTAGTATTCGTTACTTAGTAACGAATACTATAGAATTATCGTGATATAACGGAATATTTTAGACTATTTCTAATTACTATATGTATTTTTCGAGGTCACGAATGATTTACAAATGATTTTGTTGTAGATACTTCACCAGAAGCTAGCCCCAAAAAGTCCAACAGAAACTCGACCTACTCAGACCGTCAATTAACAGTAATAGCTGAACATACCGAATTAAAACAGTTGGACAACCAACTTACGGCTTCTAAGTACATTTTTCCCGCAGAGTCTGCCGAA